GGATGCATCGGACATTTCTGAGACCCGGCGGTTCTGGAAAATGTGTCGGGCGCCGCGGCCGTCCCAGAGCGTGCCGGAGCGCTCCGGAACGCATTTGCCCTCGTCCTGGCCGCGTCCGGCAGAGATCTGCCCCGCATTTCCCGCCCGCGTTCTTCCGCGTGCTGCCCTCGGCCCCCTCGTCCTCCCTGTGGCATCCCTCCTGCTCCCCTCGCCCGCCCTCCGATCGCCTCCCCTCGCCTCGCGCCCCCTTGCCCCCCCTCCCCCCCTCGCCCTCTCTCGCCCCCTCCCCGCATCCTCTCACTCCCTCTCTCTCCTCTCCTGGCCTCTCCACCCTCTTCGTTCTCCCTCTTCTTGTGTCCCCCCCCCCTTTCTCCTTCCACGTCTGGCCGAACCGTGCGAGAGGTTGGCGTGGCGCCTGCCACAGCCATCTCTGGTCCAGCACCGCTTGCGGTGGAGGCCCACTGGGCATCTGGGCGCGGGGGAAGGGCGAGGGGCCCTTTCCGACTCCACTCGCCGTGACTCAGGAAGGAGGGGGAGGACGACGACGACGACGACGACGACGACGACGACGACGACGACGACGACGACGACGAGGAGGAGGAGGAGGAGGAGGAGGAGGAGGAGGAGGAGGAGGAGGAGGAGGAGGAGGAGGAGGAGGAGGAGGAGGAAGGGGAGGAGGAAGGAGGGAAAGAGGAGGTAGGGAAGGGAGTCCTGAAGGAAACGGGCCCCGGGCCCCGGGATGCCCCCAGGGGACAAGCTCTCCGTGGACGGCCGCTTGTCGACGGCCGTGGGGGCCCGTGGAGGGGCCCGAAAACGGCGTTAAACCCTTCCAGGGCCCCCTTCCTCCAAGACCAGTCTCGCTTGCACCAGTTCCCCTCTGCTCCCCCCCTCCTCCCCCCTCCTCCTCCTCCTCCTCCTCCTCCTCCTCCTCCTCCTCCTCCTCCTCCTCCTCCTCCTCCTCCTCCTCCCCCTCCTCCCCCTCCCCCTCCTCCTCCTCCTCCTCCTCGTCCTCCTCCTCCTCCTCCTCCTCCTCCTCCTCCTCCTCCTCCTCTTCCTTCTGCCACTGCCCGCACACGCAGACGGCCTGCAGGGTCTGGCGGGATTTCGCCGCAGCTCGCCGCTGCTCCGGGGCCCGACACCGCCCCCACGCCGTGGCCGCGACGGCCCTCCCTCCTTCCGTTGCGCTCGCTGCCTCCCGCAAGCGTGCTGCTGCCCGTCCTTGGTCCGTCCCCTCCTCTGGGGCTGCCAGGGGCCTGCCCTCCCCGAGATTCATTTCACCGCTCCCTATCCTTATGTCGGGCCTGGCCCCCCTTCAGGGGGATTTTCGACGAAACATAGAAAATACCCCAAAATGCCCCCCAAAGGCCAAAACATACTCCCAAAATAGTCCCCAGACAATTTTTTTTTTATTATTATTTTATGGTTACTTTGTATTTTTCGTCGAAAATCGCACTGTAGGGGGACAGGCCCGACTTAACCCTATCCCCACAGGTGTGTGTGTGGCCATGGCCCCACTGGCCGAGTCCCCCCTCCAGGTGGGGCTGTGGGCGGCTCCCCCTCCGGGCCTCGAGGGGCACAGCTTCCAACGGGGGGGACGGGATGGGCGGGGAGGAGACACCTCAGCCCGGTGGAGATGGGGATCGGTCCAGCGATACTGACTAAAGGGGCACCAGGACACACAAATAAATACACTCAAATAAACAGATTCCTCATATTGTCCAATATTTTCTGGGTTTTTGTCTTCCCCCCACTTCCCATATTTTCCCATATCTTCCTGGGGATCGTCGATTCATTGTGTCTGTGTGTTTTTGTTCCCTCCTGAGATACTGACTCCCTCTCTCCGCTCCGCTCGCTGCTTCCCGCAAGCGTGCTGCTGCCAGCCCTCGGCCCGTCCCCTCCCCTGGGGCTGCCGGGGGGCGACCCCGGCCCGCGGCGGGCCGCGCCTGCCCAAAGGGAGGCTGCGGTGGCCTCCAACGCACCCCTCACGCGGCCCAGCGGGCCCCTGGGGGGCCCGCCACGGCGCGACACGCCGGGAACGCCGTGGGCCAGGATCCGACCGCTCGCTGCTGCCGTTGTGAAGGGGCCCCGGGACACACAAATACATACACACAAATAAAAAGATGCCCCATATTTGCTAGGTTTTTGTCTTCCCCCCCCACTTCCCATATTTTCCCATATTTGCTGGGGAGTCGACGATTCATTGCGTCTCTGTGTGTGTTTTTTCCCTCCTGATGTTGGCGCCGGTCAGGCTGGTGCTGCCTCTGCGTCGCGCCGGGCCCCCTGCCCCTGCCGTGCTCCTGCTCCTGCGCCGGCCCTGCTGTGCTCACGCCCTGGCAGCCGGCCCTCGGGCTCACGCTCACGTGGGATGAAGGCTCCGCGGACCCGGCGCGCGGGCGCCAGGAGTCACGAGGAGGAGGAGGAGGACTCTGCTGGACTCTGCTGAGCGCCGCGAAGCGGCCGATCAATCACTGTCATCCTCCACCGCTGACGCTCCGCCACGCTGCTGCCCAGGGCCACCGCTGCCGCACAACTCACGAGGCCACGCCGCCACCTCCCTCAAGGCAGCGGCGGCAGCAGGCGGGCCAGCGGCAGCAGCACGGGGCGCCTCGTCGTAGCGCATGGTGGCCGCCGTATCGCTCGGGTGGCGTCTCGACGCCACTCTCAAGTATTCATCTAACAAATCATGATCAGACTCCCTCCCCTCAGTCTCCGAGCCACGAGCAGGTGAGGCTTCCACCAGGGGCCCGCAGGCGGGGAGGGAACATCGCACAGCATCTTCTGTCTGAGCAGCCATCACAGACACGGGTGGGCCACGATAGCTCGGAAACAAACCTTTCTGAATTCTGCGCAAGTTCTCCCCTCCTTTGCGGGTGGGGGGGGAGCACGCAACAGACAAGTGCCTGGCATCCGCAGTGGCCGTGCGACCACAGGTCATGCAGAAGAAAAGACCAAAAGCTTTCATCTTGGCGAGCTGGTGGCTGGGGTGCAACAAAACTCCACCAACTCGCACTTCGCCAGAGGCCGCCTCGAAACCCTCACCATACTCCGCAGGCAGGCCAGTCTTTTCCGCCGCGTCCAGCTGCGGGGCGAGAGACCGACCAACACATTGGGTCGAGGCGACCTGGAAAAGCCTACTACGCGGGATAATATCCTTGCACAACTTACACCTCCAGCGCCCCGCAAAGGGGACAAAGACATGGGAGCTCCTGGCCAGGGCCGTCTCCAAACGGGTTGGCCTACGCTGCTGACGCTCGCGGGCAGGTCTCTCGCCGACCCAAGGTTCAACCTCGAGCGCCATCAACAGAGCCCTCCGAGCTCTGAGCCTCACCAGTGCCGCCGTCGTGTCCCACAAATCGGTACGGGGAACAGGGGGCGACACACACCACTCCCAGGCCCATTGGGCCGCGGCACCAGCCCAGGCGTCGGCGCAGGCGTTGCCCAGGCTCAGGAACAAATCGAATTCAGTCTTGACCAACTGTAACTCGTCCTCCCTATGGGAGGGGGTCCACAAAACAGAAACCTCCCCAGGGCCGCGGGTCCTCAAAGCGGTGCCGACGCGGACCCAGAGATCCCCGTTAAGGCCCCGAGGAAGCTTGGCACGTCCGTTGTGCCAGTCAGCAGTCAAACTCTTACAGTCGGTCACGTAGCAGATCGGTCCCCTCGAGCTCTCAAGGGCGAGACAGAGAGCCTGCAGCTCAGCACGCGGAACAGTTTGCTTCCTGCCCGAGAGAATCTGAGCCACCCCGCAAGCCGGGCTCCAGAAAGGCGACGAGGCATCCTGACACATCACAACGATAGCCGAGCCGCATCGCCTCCGACGGGGATCCGAACTGTGCTCGCCTCCAGAACCGTCCCCAAAAATGTACAGGGGGGGAGCTCCAGGGGCCGCACAGTGATCAAGCAAAGCCCCCTCCCCAAGAAGGACCTTTTGGGCCGCCTCAGAGCTCTCCACAAACTTGGGCACCACAAGGTCCTTCGGGGGCACTCCGCGAAGCCATGGCGCGGGCTGCGCGTCCAGGCTCGCGAGGGCTTGGGGGACCAGAAAGTCAGTCTTTGCAAAATCTTCGTGCCCGCAGTTAGCTGAGCACGTCCAAATACGGTGCGCTAAAGTCTCAGGCTTTTCTTTACAACGGGGGCACAGCAGCGGGCAGGCATAACCTGCGGCAATCTGCCTCTCACGAGTCCACTGGCCGCCGCTCACCACGGCGACATCCGCCGACCACTCGTCGAACTGCATCCGCTTGGCGAAGCGGTTCAGCTCGATGGTCACAGTCGTCAAGTCGGCGCCGTCCGCCAGGTCGTCGCCAGCCGCATGATGAGAAGCTGACTGCCACTGCTGCGCAACACAATCATCCATGAAGGCGCCCAGCATGTCATCAAAGTGGGCCAGCACCGCCGTGCCGAACTGCTCGTCACCGAAGGAGGGGAAGATCCAATCATCAATCGTGCCGTCTGCTAAGGGCCGAGACCACACCAACGGCGACTGGGGATCCCAACCCACTTGCAGCAAGGTCGCTTGCAGTGCAGCAATCGGGCCACGAACATCCTTCCAACAGACGGCCTTGCCACGCTTGAGTCTCGCCAACACGATGGGCCATACCTTGCAGATCCGTGGATGAAGACCAGGCTGTGCCAACCACAAGGCCACCCATTCACGCAGCAACTGACGGCGTAAATCGACACCAGGCTCCGCAGTGCCGTAGATCGCCTGCAGCACGGTGGTCAGGCACCGTCCCCGCTTCGTACCAGCCACCGCTGCAGCTGCATCGCGTCGCATGGCCAACGGCGTAGTAGGAGGGGTTCCCATCAGCTGATGACCAAAGACGGACGCTGGGTACACGCCTGTCGACCAGAGCTTCTTCGTCACAAAGCGAAGCTTGGCCAGGCGCCTGACTTTCATCACCTTACGTTGTCTACGTCTTGCCTGGGCGCGGCGCTTCATCATCCTGGCAGAGGCCCTCGCCCTGGCAGCGGCAGCGTCGGAGCCCAAGTCCACCGTGGCGCGCACGAGCTCCACAGGGATGCCCTTGCGGCGCAGCCGCTTCTCCAGCTCCGCGCCAAGGTCGTCCGAGCTCGCCACCAGCTTCGTCTTGGTGGAGATCTGGAGACGGAGCTCACGAAGGCCGTCTGCCATGACATCGGCCGTCGCCTCGAGGTCGCGGATGACCTTCTGCTTGGTGCCCTCCGCGCGGCCAACAATGTCGTCGATATAGCTCCACAGGCCAGCAGGAGGAACCTCACGATGGACGGTGTCCAACAGCCGATGCAACATCACTTTGGCCAGAGGTACTCCGAGCCCAGACCCCGCGACGATCGACCTGGTGACCTCCACCGCCTCCGTGATCATCTGGCCCTTCTTCAAAAGGCGCGGAAAGGAGTAGAGGCCTATCTCCAGCAGCAAAATGATCGGCGGGAATCCAATCTGCAGGCCAGCCTGCATGAGCAATACAAAACTCACCGAGTCGTAGAACTTAGTCAAATCTAAGAAAAGCGTCGCATGCTCAAAGGCCAGCTCATGGGCCCCCTCGTCCATCACAGCACGAATCAGCGCCGCCCGTAAAGCGGGCAATAGCTGTATCCCAGAAAGCAGAGAGCGACGCAGACCACTCCCCCGAAGCACGAGAGCGGATCTTGGACCACACCTTCTGCGGCATGGGAACCAGCCCCAGCACACGGCAGCCCCCCGCCTCCTTCGGGATGGCCGCGCCGAAGACACTGCTGAGACTGGAAGGCCATACCCCTGCTGCCTCGATCGCGTTCAAGGTGTCCACGAAGGCCTGACGAGCTGCATCAGGTTGTCGTTGAATGTCCAAGGGGCTCAGAGCGTCAACGCCCTTGGCCTTCCTTGCAGGGATCCTCGGCAGCACGGCATCCAGGTCCAGCAGAGTGATGATGGGCAGAGGGTCCTCCCTGGCAGCGTCGAAGCACTTCTGCATCATCGCCAGAACGTCCTCAGGCGAGTCGACTGGGTCGGTCCACATCGTCTGCCACTCCTTCGCCAGACCTTGAAGCATTGCCTGGTTGTCCGAAGTGACCGTGCCCCAGGAGTCCTTACTTTCCCAAACTGGGGCCTCCGTTGGTTTCACGTGTCTGTGAACAGCCCCAGGTTTTGCCGACCACATCTCTTGGACCCATTTCATGAAGGCGGACCTGGAGGCCATCATGGCCCGAGCGTTTGACAGATCAGCCCACCTGCGAGTTCTCTCCAGTAACTCAGGTAAGGAAGCAGCGTCGACCAGGTCCAGGCTGTGCACCATGCTCTTCCAGACGAAGATCTCCTGAGGGTCCTGCTTCTTGCCAAAGAACAGCTCATCCGACTTGCCGTCCAGCTGCTCGATCAGGTGCCGCGCCTTCACGACGCGCTGGGCCGCCTGGTGCGGGTCAGAATCGTTCCTCACCAAGGCCACGTAGCGCGTGACCAGCGTGCTGACAAGGCCCCACCACTCAGCCTGCTCGTTGCGCATGTGAGCACGTCCGGGAGTCGACCGTGCCAACTTCCAACAACAGGCAGGGCCACGAGCTCGGCCTGAGTACTGCTTCCACTTGTCAGAGTCAACCTTCTCATGCAGAAGCACAGCCCTCTCCATGACCGCAACCCAATGGTTGTGCAAAACATCGACCCGCGCTCGGCCCTCAACTTGCCAGCGGAACACGAAGTGTCGTGCTGGGTCGTAAGGAGCATGATGACCCAGGAATCCAGCAGGGACCTGGCCATGCGGTTCAGGGACGCCTTCCCAGTAAATCTGAGTCGTGGCCTCGTCCCAGGTCTCATCAGAAATAGCAAAAGCCACCTCGCTGGCGACATCAGGTCGACTGCCCCCAGAGTCGGTACCCTCAACCCCCGTTGGCCCAGCGGGCATGGGTGGCGAGCAGTGCGTGCTCTGGGGGCCCCCAAAGGACGTCATGCCATCTGGCCCCTCCATGGGCCCAAAGAAATCATCGAACAAGTCCTGCATGTCTGTCGGAAGTTGCTGTAACTTGCGTTCACGAGCGGCAGCCTTACGCTTCGACGTCTTGCTGTCAGGGTCAGCGACCGCACGAGGCCTTTCTCGAGACGGCAGCGGCTGCGGCAGCACGAGCTGACGGTACCAGCGCTGGGTGCGTGCTGCCTTCACCGAGATGTGCACCCCGCAGTGAGTCTTCCACGGCACCGACAGATCAGGGCTCAAGGTCACTTCAGGAAAGCCACGGCCCACCAAGCCATAGTCGTACATTCTGCCAGGACCCTTATCGCATGTAGTGAGACACGTCGGTGTGACCACCCGAGTGCCCAGGCGTTCAGGCCAGCCCGATTGCACAAAGGGCCCTGGCTCAATATTCCAATCAGCCATGATCAAGAAGGGGTCCGCCAAGGAGCGGACGAAGGAGCCCAGCGCCACGAGCACCTCGTTGTTCCAACCCTTCACCCCCAGGCCAGGCTGGAGGTAGGCTGAGATCAGCACCAAATTGCCAGCACGAGTGTGGAGCACCAGCGGCACGAACCCGCGGCAGGGGTCCAACCTGCCAGCCTCCAGCGATGCGCGGCGAACACTCTCAAAGCTCGTCGCAGCGATGTGCTTCTTTGTCAATATCCACTCCCCGCCAGAGAGGCCCGTGTCCGACTTGCCCGATGGCCGAGCAGCCGTGTGGGTGACCCTCCAGCCGTCCTTGTCCAACCCCGACCGGATGTCGGGCATATCATCTGGTCCTTTGTGTGTCTCGCAGAAGGCCACCACGCTGCGCGCCGACTCCTGAGACAAGAATCGCGCAGCTTGCGGCCCCCACTCCGTGATGTTGCCGAAGAGGATGGACAGCGAGTCATCCTCGGGATCAGGTACGTCTTCAGAAGCCAGCAGCGCTTCGCCCCGCTGCCAGGGGCGCGGCGCCTCCCTGCTAGGAGCCCGTGGCCCCAGCAGCAGGAGGGGCAGCATCAGCGCCTTGGCCACCAGGCTTGGCAGCAGCCTTGGCGCGGGTTGCCGCCTTCGCCTGGACCACCGAGTTGTCCTGGAACTTGGCGCGCATGTCCTTGCGCACCGCGTCGGAGACGGCGGGCGCGGCCGCGCTGCCCTGGCTGGCAGCCGCAGTGGCGCCGCCTGGGCCTGCCGCGGCCGCGGGAGGGACACCTCCGCGAGGAGGAGGAGGCGCGGATCGAGGAAGACTGCCGAAGCATGCTGCCCGTGCCGCCGAACCTGGCGACGCAGCGCATCGATTCCGTGCGGAGATGGGGCCCGCCGCCAACCCACTCGCCTTTTTTCCGTGTCTGCGTGTCCTCGAGCTTCAGCTCTCCTGCCCCCGCTCTCCCGTTCCTCTCCCTCCCCAGCTCCTCCTCCCTCTGCCCCGCCCCTTCCCCCCTCGCTGCGTCACTCCCTGCCTCCTCCCTCCCCCTGTCCCCTCTCTCTTCCCTCCCCGTGCTCCCCCCCTCCCTCTTCCCCTCCAAAGGTGCTCCCACATGTCTTTCTTCTCGCACACCGGCTTCCACTGCGTGGTCTTTCCGGTGTGTCTTCGCAACTGGAACGCCTTTGGCCCGTCAGAAGTGGTCTTCCAGCTGCAGCGTTGGCCACATTTCAACAGGTCGAATCCTGCAACTGCCATCCGGGTCCTCTAGGGCGCCTCAGTTGGTGGGTAGGAAGAGGCAGCGCAGTGGGGAGGGATGTATGTGGGTGGTGGTGGTGGTGGTGGTGGTGGTGGTAGTGGTGTGGGGGGTACTACGCACATATCCAATGTGGCGCGATCGGGCCAAGCTTGCCCTTCCCATCTCCTCTCCTTTCCTCTCCTCTCCGCTCCTCGCCTCTCTTCTCTCCTCTCTCCTCTCCGCTCTCCTCTCCGCTCGTCTCTCCTCGCTCCCATCTCCCCTCCTCTCCTCTCCTCTCTTCTCCTTCCCTCTCCCCTCCTCTCCTCTCCCCTCCCCTGATCTCCCCTCCTGATGCGCTCTCCCTCCGCCGCCCCTGCCGGCGGGAACACGTTCCAAGACGCTCCGCACGCGAGGAGCTCGCACGAGAGAGGGGCCCCTCCTCCTCTGGACCCCGGCCAGGGAGAGGCCATGCGGAGAGAGGAGGAGGAGGCACGGAGACGACGCGGGGGAAAGGAGGGGGGAAGGGGAATGGGAATGGGAATGGTCAGTTCGCGAAGCGAAAGGAAAGAGCAGGAGGCGCGGAGATGACGAGGGGGAGACGTAGAGGGCAGAGCATCCACCCCCTATGATAATTAAGTAGTCAAAACATATTCAAACATGGTCAACAAATACTAAACACATTGTCCCCGGACTATTTTTTGACTATTTGTGAATCTCCCCCCTGTAGCGGGACAGGCCCGACTTAACCACAATAACCACCCTGACCAGCGAGGCCGTTCCATAAACGCACGCGGGGAAGGGATCGAGCAGGGCAGGGCTGCCCAGGAAACGCCCAGGGCCGTTTGGCAAACGCCGATTATCAAGTCCGGGTGGTTCGTCCTCCCTTGAGAAAAGGAGGGGGCAAAGGGTTTGCTGGGTGGTCGAAGCCAATCTGGCGCCAATCTGGCAGGCCCAATCTGGCAAACGGGGGCAATCTGGCGAGGGAGCCAACGCGAGTCCAGTCTGGCGAATAACCCAAATCATCCAGTTTGGCCGGGCCAGATTGGCCCTTGGGGCCCAATCCAATCTGACAGTCTGGCCTTCGACTACCCAGCATTGGACTGAGGGCACCACAGCCCGCCCGCACCCCCAGCCAGGACCCCGACTCCCGGCCTGGTGGTCCAGGCGGTCCGGGCTGGGGGCGGCGGCGGGGGATCGGCGGGGGGCGAGGTCTGCCGTGGGTCGTGGGGGCGGCGGCGGGCGGCGGCGGGGGTGGCTTCTGCACCAGAAAGCGACGGAGATGATGAGGGAAGGGGGGCATGGGTTGGGACTGAGGACGCCTCAGTACATCGTACATTCGTCCTACAACTTCGAGCAGCTTCAGCAGTGGGAGGGCGGTTCGTGTTCAAAATGGAGCTCTCGCCTCAGCACCACGCGCTCTCGTCTGAAGATGCTGCAGCAGCTTCCAGGCGGCCCGACTTAAATCTAGCTCTCCCCACCCAGGACCCTCACCCCCGATCTGGGGATCCAGGGGGTCCTGGCTGGGGACGGGGGCGACTTCTGCGCCAGAAGACAACGCCCGCCCCCAGCCAGGACCCCCTGGATCACCAGATCTGGAGCGGGGGCCCTGGCTGGGAGTGGGCGGGGTGGTGCTGCCCTCAAGCATGGGGACGAGGACGACGAGGACACGGCAGGGCGTTCTGGCACAGGCAGGTCGGCCACTCGTGTGCGCGTGAGGAGACTTCAAGGTCCACGCCGAGTTTGCGCCGGCGCCCACTGTCTGCAACATGCTGGCTCACCCGACATCAGCCCTCTGTCGGTCGGAGGGCGAATCGGCGAATGCGAGGAGGGGGGGAGGGGGAGGGAGAAGGAAAAGGAGGAGGAGGAGAGGAGAGGAGGAGGAGGAGGCCTGGGATGGATCGTCGGCTCAGGGAGCCACGTCTGCGCCCCAGGGACACGTGCGCCCCGAGGGCCGCGCCCCTCCTCGTTGCCCCCTCCCGCCCGCCTCAGCCCATCGTCCCTCCTCCTCCTCCTCCTCCTCCTCCTCCTCCTCCCCTCCTCCTCTCCCTCCCTCGGCCCCTCCTCCTCCTCCTCCTCCTCTCCCTCCTTCGGCCCCTCCTCCTCCCACAGATCACCTCCTTCTCATTTCTCCCTGCTCCCTCCGTGCTCCTCCCTCCTCCATCCTCGTTCGCCACTCCCTTCCCCTCCCTCCTGCCCCCTCAACGTCGCGGAGGGGTGTGGAGCATTGGGGGAGCCGATGTGTGTGTGGGGGAGGGAGGAGACGAGGGCTGCGGAGGAGGGTGGAGCGGGAGCGGAGGAGGGGGGGGGGGGGGGCAGGAGAGAGGGGATGTGCGCAAGCTAGGTGCGCTCGCGCTACATCTGACATCCGGTCCCTCCTTCCCCTATCGTGTTATACGCAATGGGAACAGGGGAGCCCAGGAGGAAAAGGGGGAGGAGGAGGCGGGTGAGCAGGACGATGAGCAGGAAAGGAGGAAGATGTGGAAGGAAGAGGACAAGGACAAGCAACATCGGCGGCTAGAACTTATCGGACCTTCATGCTCTGCGCACCCATGCTCAGCCGAAACGGCCAGCTCTGTAGCGATTTTGATGTCTGCCTTATGGGGTCTCTCGCAAGGTATTTCGGTCTTGCTTCTAAGCCTTCTGATGTTGGCACAAGTGACCATGAATGCACTAGCGGCCGCCGTAGTGAATAGCTACCCCACTTCCGCTTCTTTCTTTCTCATCCTCGGCCTTACTTCAATAAATGGTCCAGAGGGTATGTCATAGCAATTTCTGGAACAAGAGATGCTGGGACGTCCGTGGTGCTGAGTAAAGCGTCTGCGGCGCCGTTGGCCCAGACGCAACCCCTGAACGCAGAGGGGCTAGTGCGCCGGATCGGCCTCCTAGGAGTCGACAGGGGAGCGACAGAGAGGGCAGCGTAGTAGAGGAGGAGGAGGAGGAGGAGGAGGAGGAGGAGAAGGAGGAGGAGGAGGAGGAGGAGGCGGAGGAGGAGGAGAAAAGATCGATGTCCTGCCTTCACTCACTCCCTCTCCTCTTCTGTAGCCGTGCCGCGAACCAACAGGAACCGGAGTGGAAGGAGCGGGAGGAGCAGGAGGACCAGGGGAAGACGGAGGAGGGGAAATGAGGGGGGCGACAACGATGAAAAAGGACTCGGACCCAGAGCAGTGGCCCAGGCTGGCTAGGGCAAGAACGCCGTTCTGAACGACGGGAGCAAAGCGACGACACGAAAATGAGGCCCGCGCTGCAGCGGGAACACCACCCTGAAACACCGAAAGCAATCAAATTTCACAACGAGCCATAAGACAAACCAATGACTTACATCCTGTGCAGGAAACAATGCGCGGAGAGGCCCGGACACCTTTCGCGCAGAGAGTCAGGGCAGATAGAAGCGTGGTGCTCATGCGTAGCTGTAGAGGGCGAACAGGGAGGGGAGGGAGGCAGGGGAGGAGGGAAGGACGGTAGGGAGGAAGGCAGGGCAGGGAGGGCTGAGACGTCAGGAGTGGGATGCCGAGGGCCGCACTAACACGTCGGGCGAGAAGAGCATGACCACGGATGGAGTTCAGTCCTGGCGCGGCGGCCGGACACGCCCGCCCGCCCGGCTCGCGCCACAGAAGCGCCCCCTCTCCGCGCAGGCCCTCCCCCTCTCCCCGGACTTCTCCACCCGTTCTTGGCGGCGCGCGCAAGGGGAGAGGGGGAGGGGGGAGGGCTTCTCAGAAGGAGGTGGCTTCTTAGGAGGGGGCGCCCCTGCATCCGCAGGCAAAAGGCCAGCGCCTTCTGAGAGGCAGGGGCGCTTCCAAGAAGCCTCTCCCCCACCACCTCCCCCCCCCCTGCGCGTGGCCGACACTCCCCGGGTCAGGCTCCTCACCCCGAATCGCTTCTGTTCACGGCCCTGGGGCCCGGCGAGGGCCCCCCGAGGCCGAAATCTGCAAGAGACCGTCCTCCGCTGTGCTCTTGCCGCGGCGCGGGTCTGGGCCTCCCCTCGCCATCGCTCGGACGTCCATCCCCTCTGCTTTCTTCGGCTTCGTGCGTGGTTTTTTTCGCCAGATGCTCAGGGATGCTCCTCGATGGCCCTTGCCGAGAATCCTCGATGGCCCTCGCCGAGAAAAAAAAAGCACACGTCCGAGCGATGCCGAGGCCGTGCTTTTTTGCCACGGCGCGGGTCGGGGCCTCCCCGGCCGGGAGGGCAGCCGCCGGCGCGGCGGGGGCGGGGCCCTCCGCCGCCGCGGGGAGCGCGGCGCCCTCGCCGCGGCGCGGAGCGCGGACGGGCTCGCGGTGAACGCCCGCGCCAGGGCGACTGGAGCCGTTGCGCAGCCTCAACGTGCGTGTGCATATACACATACATATATACACATATATGTATACACACACATATATATATAATACACACATATATAACGTGCGTGTGTATATACACATCTAGGTATACACATACACATATAAGGTGTATATCTCTATAGGTATACAAATATGCGTACACGCGTATCCATCCATCCATCCATGCATGCATCCATCCGTGCCCATCCACATACATAGATGCATGGCACATCATCTACACGTCTACGTTTACAGCATGCTGTGCATGCTCGGGTAGCGGAGCCTTCCTTTCCCGAGCGGGGCCAAGATGCCTTGCTGGGGCCCTGAGGGACGAAACACAAGCGTCTGTAAAGATTCTGATTGCCCCGGGAGGCGGCCCACAAAGCGGACAGCACAAAACAATACGTCAGAGGCCTGGGATGCATGGGCGGGCGTCTCGGCCGTTCGCAGAGCACCTCCGAGCGCGCCGAGAGGGCTTCGAGACGAGTTGCTCGTATCCCTATTCCGCCCGAACCCCTCCTCAATCCTTCCTCCTCCCTCCTCGCTCCTCCGTCGTCCGTTCTCCCTCGGCTTCCCCCTCCTCCTTTCCCTCCTCCCTCCTCCCTGGAGATCTTTCTGATGGTATCGCATACCGTTCACGAGCGGAAATCTGGAACATCTCAAATTATTCTGGCCCAGCCCTGTCTTCTGCTGGAGATCACCAGATCCGATGTGAAGGGCCTCCTGACAGAGGAGGACAGGGACCTCCAGCATACATAATCATTTTATGGGTAGCGCTTCCAACATCCTGTTGCTGAGCTGCGGGGCCAGGCGCGGTTTTTGCGAGGTGTCCGAGTCTGGTGACCTGTGGATGTGATGGCGTCTCTGCAGGCCATAGGGGCAGCGTGAAGGGCTTTTTGATTGCATGTCAATGGTCAGTCAGCGCTCACCTTCCTCCATATCGGCGCCTGTCGTTCGAGCGCAAGTACCGCGGGTTCGCGTCGTGACGACTTGCGCGGTAGTTTTCGTTGCTGACGCCGTGTGGATCGCTCAGCCTTGAACGATCTCGGGTTCCCGATCGTGCAAGATCCTCCGAGGTCGACCGATTATGCGCCACAGGCAGCGCTAAAATTTTGCACGGCCGCGCTGAGGCCGCTGCCGCGTCGACACGGCACGACGCTGTCATATGCTGGGATTTCCTGGCGCGCCCACTCGTTTTGAAAAGCGGAAGCCCGTCTCAGCGCCCCGACGAGCCCGGGCTGTCTGGAGAGGAGGCCTTCCTTCGCCGCGGGAGCGGCCACGTCGACGAATCGGCCGAGGGCTTGAGCTATCGATCATCCCATGGCTTCGTTTGACGAGCCTGCTCGCGCCGACAGGCTGGTTGAGGTTGCAGGAGTTGGTTGGACGTCTCTCTGCGAACCTGCTGCGCCTGTGGTTTAAGCTTCACCTGGCGGGAGCGAAGGGACACCCAAAGCAGAGTGCCCTGGAAGTAGGGCCCCGCCACGTGTGGGCCTGGCACTCTAAACCTTGGAAAAGCGCTGTGTGTTCCAAAAGCTACCGCTCTGCTGCCGGACCTCCTCCTGGACAATGCCGTTGGAAAGGCGGGCCTGGTTTTGCCCATGCCGCTTGTCTCGAACACGTTTATATTGCGTGTAATGTTTACTCGATGTGGACTTAGCCCTTGCGGTACGTTCGAATTGTTGAATCAAAACTAGTTTCAGACCGCGTCCTCGCCGAACTATTGCCAAGTGAACAGTCCTGGCAGAACAACTTATGACCAGCTCCTGCGAGGTCTGGGTGCAAGGCCGACTTACCTGACAATGAATTGAGCGATTTCCAACGATTAAGCACAAGACCCATGGAAACTCGTGGTGGGTCTCGCGGGCCCTCTATGTCAATCATCATGCAACTTTTCACTGATGTACCAAAACCATCCCGCCTCCTCCTCCCTCGTCCTCCTCCTCCTCCGCTTCCTCTTCCTCCTCCTTCTCCTCCATCCTCCTAGTCTTGCTGGCGTAAGCTCTGGTGATGACGCATCAACTTCAACGGAGACCATTAAACGTCAAGCGCCGTTTGGGGCCAACTTGACAGGCCCCCCCTCCTCCCTTCCTCCTCCTCCTCCTCTTCCTCCTCCTCCGCGAGTTTGTCTTCGAGGCCCATGGCTCGGGCAGCCTGCGTGGCGCCTAAGTCGGGAGGAAGTGGGCCAATGTGACGCTTCCGCGGGCAATGCCGCTGTGGCAGTCCGCGCGGCGCCATCGCTATAGTTCCTGACCATCTTATGGTGTTGGGTCCTGGTTTTGAAGACACAACGCCCCGTGTTCTCCTTGTCCTCCCGCTGCCCTCTCCTCTCACCCACAATCATCATCACCACCACTAACAACACCACCACCATCATCACCATCACCATCACCATCACCATCACCATCACCATCACCATCACCACCACCACCACCATCATCATCATCATCATCATCATCATCATCATCATCATCATCATCATCATCATCGTCATCGTCATCGTCATCGTCATCGTCATCGTCATCATCATCACCACCATGATCATGATCATTATCATTATCATGATCATGATCATGATCATGATCATGATCATCATCATCATCATCATCATCATCATCATCATCATCACTATGGTCATCATCATCACCACCAGCATCATCATCACCATCATCATTAGCCTTGTCATCATCCTCATCCTCATTCTCATCCCCATCCTCATCCACATCATCATCCTCATCTTATACTCATCTTCACCCTCATCCTCATCCTCATCCTCATCTTCATCTTCATCCTCCTCCTCCTCACCATCACATCCTCCTCCTCCTCCTCTTTCTCCTCATCATCAGCATCTCCACCTTCATTTCATCGTCAGCTTCATCTGCATCTTTCCCCTGCTGCTGCCTGCGCTCCGCGGAGGGCCTCAAACTGCGCGCGGAGGACGTGATGGTCTCCGCGGACGCGCAGGGCGAGACTGTAATTGCGCTCCGCCTCGGCGTCATCCAGAGGGGCGAGCGCGCCAAGACCGGGGTGCACCGGGGAGTCCTGATCGGCAGGCCGCACATGGCGGAGATGGTCTGACGCCGGGCCGCCTCGGCGCCCAGAGGCGGCCAGGCCAAGATGTTCGACATCTCGGTCGAGCGCTGTCGGAGGGCATTGAAGCGGGCCTGCGAAGAGCTGGGGGTGCCGAGCTTCCTGGCTCACTCAGCTCGGCACTCGGGCCCGAGCCACGATGCGGCGACGGGCTCCCGAACAGTGTGGCACATTCAGAAGCGCGGACGCTGGGAGTCGGAGAAAGGCGTCCTGAAGTACATGAAGACGCACGCGCTGGTGGCGGCGCGCTCGCAGGTGCCCAACGGCATCATGCAGGAGGGCTCCAAGCAGATCCAGGGTCTGCCGGAGCGCCCGGAGCGGGCCAATGAGTACCCTTCGGTCGGAAGAAGCAGGTAGAAACATGAACTCCATGGTGGAGGGGGTGCGAGGGCCCGCGCCGATCGGCAAAACAATGCATAAGATACGAAAACGATCACCTATCCTCATCCTCTGCTGTTTTTTCAAAATCAAGTCCGGTCGAGGAGCCTATGGAGGCACCTCGATCCGCAAGCGGAGCGAGGGAGTCGCAGCGAGCGAACCCTGCAGGGTCCAGGGGTCTACAGACATTGCTGTCTCGTGCGTCTCTATCTCGTGAGGGGATCGCATTGCGCGAGCCCTGTAGGTTCCCAGGGGTGAGCCTGCAGACTTTGTGTTTTTCGTGGGTCTCTCTGCTTGTTTGGACTGGCGTCTCCGCGCCCGACCTCCCCCCCCTGGCCCTGGTGAGTAAGATGTTGAGCCTCTCGATCTACAGACATGCTTTTGGCCAACAGTGGGCCTGCAGAGGCCTCCAGAGGCCTTGGGAAAAGCTCTGGAGGCTTTCGGGGGACCCCCAGGGACGACCTCCTCCTCCTCCTCATCCTCCTCCTCCTCCTCCTCCTCCTCCTCAATTTCCTCGTCGTCGTCCCCTCGATTTCCTCGTCGTCGTCCTCCTCCTCCTCCTCCTCCTCCTCCTCCTCCTCCTCCTCCTCCTCCTCCTCCTCCTCCTCCCCCCCCTACCTCCAGCTCCTCCTCCTCCTCCTCCTCCTCTGATCTCAGAACCACGCTGAAACTTGTTATACTCTCCCATTTGATATTCCAGAACATCGTGAAACCCTTCAGAACCAACCAACACCCCGTTCCTATACCTTCTAACACCTCCCACCATCCCTCCCTCCCTGGAACTCCATAAGCCACCCCAAGGCCTTAGACATTTTCTGCGCCTCATCCTGAATACCTCCCAGACCGCCTATTCCCGTTTTCCGCCCTCCTTCCTCCCTCTGGCAACGCGGCGCGCTCCCGTGAAGACAAAGACGCTGACGACGACGACGAGGACGCTGACGACGACGAAGACGACGCGAACGACGACGACGACGACAACGCTGACGACGTCGGCGACGACGACGACAACGAGACTCGAATCAAAAGTTTTGCGTTTTGAGCCGAGTCGCTCGAGTCAAAACCTAAAACTAGAACCTACGACGACGACGACGACGACGACGACGAGGCTCAAAACGACGAGCTTCCTCCATCTAACCACACGGCGCGCTCCCTCTAACGACTGGCACCCCA